TYTSYKWTKSTWTCCAAGTCCCAGTTACAGAAAGTCCCATGTGGTGGAACAGCTCAAAGCACCCAGAGATGCTCCTAAAATAGCAACTAAGTTTCAAGATTTAAAACTTTGACCTGTCTTTTCTATAGGCTGTGGGAGTCCTTGAATTGTTTTAGAGATCCCATGGTAAGGACAGGGCTCTGCAGGCTGGATAGATTTTGGGGAAAGCTCAGGTTTGTAGGAATTTGTTGGCTGCTGTGCTGGTTTGGGGGGAGAGGGTGGAAGAACAAGCAGGGGATTCATTGTTATCATGATACAAATAATGAGAAGTGCTTGAGCAAATTTTCTGTTTTGCTTTGACTTTTTTCTTTCTTTCTTGATCTTGAACTTCTGAAACTGTYGTGTGTGTGTGTCGTGTTCAATACTGAATTCCTATCTCTCACACTTTCAGGTGGGCATTCTAGAAACAACAGTGGAAGCTCTGAGTCCAGTCTTCCCAACATAGCCAGGTCTTTGCTGCTGGTGGATCAGCTCATAGACCTGTAGCAGTGACACAGTAGCAGAAGCAGTTTCTGTAACGTACCCAAACCTCCGTTGCCAGAAGAGTTTCCTTCCGTTGTGCTTCTTTGGGGCTTTGCTTTTTTTTCTTTTTTTTTTCTTAATTAAGAGAAAAATCTGCCAACAGGAGTCAGTCACCCTCCTCTCTCCCTGTCTTCCCATAGCCTGGGGAAGATCCTGGCTCTCCAGGTAGCCTGTTSTCTCTAGAGCTGGTAAAGCCCTGTGGGTTCCCTGTGCACTGTCCCATAGCCCTGTCCCAGGGGAATACTGTGCAGAGCCCACCTGTCCTTGTCCCTGTCCCTGCTTAGGGAGCTGTGGCTGCTCTGTGACCCTGGAACAGCCTCTTTCCCCCAAGAGCAGAGCGTGAACAGCACGTCCCAACCTTTGCTTTGTGCATTTGGGTTTGGTTTTGGTTCTGTTCCCGTTTTCCCATGGCTGGGCTGGAGGAGGGAGMAGGTGACAGTGGTAGGGACATCCCTTCACCTGCAGGACACGGGATAGGAGAGCTGGTGGCTCTGAATTGCTTCAGAGGAGGAGGAAGCCCCAAATTCCTCCGAGCAGTCCGGCCATACTCTGGTGATGGTGCACATGAAGAGTTTCCCAGCTGCCCCCAGCTTGTGGTTTGCTGTTTAACAATCCTGCTGGGAATAAACTGCGCTTCCCAGGGGAGGGAAAACCAGAGAAAAGGAAAAAAAAGAGAAAAGAAAAAAAAGAAAAAAACAGATTGTTAAAGCTGCAGAAATGACCCTAAGTGAAACGTAACAAGGTTTTGAACCAAATCCGTATGAGTATGGCTGTGACTAGTGTTTCATTGACCTTTTTTTGGGTGAAAAGGGCGCTGTGGCAGCAGCAGATGTATTTTCTGTGACTTCTTTTCTGTGTTTGACTGGAAAAAAAGAAACTCCCTCAACTTACTGTAAATTGTGTATGAAACAAATTGTCCTACRGTTGTTTGTCTATTTTTAATCCTGGTTTTAGTCAAGCATCTGGTATCTGTTCTGGGTTCTCCATTTTCTCTTGTAACTGCTATAGTGCACCCCAGTTCAGTATGGAGCCATTGTTTCAGTAGACAAAGATTCCTGTGGGCCTTTTCCCACCCCAGTCTCTGTGAACACGCATGCACTTGGTTCAGGTGGTTTGAAATCAGTGCTGCTACAACTCGATGGGTTCTCCCTTTTCTTTCTCCCTTCACAAGCTTAGTTTGTTAATAGCTGGATACGCTCAACTCGTTTTCCTTGGCTTATCATGAAGTCTGGAATTTCTATCTTGTATTTGAAAGCCCTTTCTGAGCAGAAGGACTCTTCCTCTGTAGTGGAATACTTCCCAGCTTCCTGCTCCCCTGTGTATGTGTTTGTAGCTGTATTAGTAACAGTGCAGTTCCCACGTGCGAAAGTACGAGCGACTGAATGTGTCTGTGCTGACCTCGCTGAGAAGGGAAGAACCCCAAGTTTGTGACTCCTCCTTTCCTCTCTCCATCTCTTCCCCACCCCAACACTTAGTTTAACAAATTCTGTACATAGAAATCCCATCAGTTGTGTCTCTACATTACTCTTCTTTTAAAACTTACACTTATTAATAAAAGTATTGCTTAAGTGTGTTGTATCATTACATGTGTATACTGCACTTTCCAGGAGAAGCTTTACATGAGAACTATGGAAATGACCTTAGTAAAATTGTGGATAGAACTTTATTATTTTTTTGTTTTATATTCCTAAAGCACAGGCAAGCTGGACTGGAAAACATGAACACGTTATAGATAGAAAGTTATTGTATAGTCAGATACTGAGATTATATGAAAAGAGAATGGATTTTAAAAAGTAACCATCTACTGTATATTAGAAACAAAGATTTCTGTGAATTAAAGTACTTTTAAAGAATGTTTAAGATTTTAAATCTAATGGCGCTTGTTCAAGGGTTCTGGAAAAAATGACAAATGCACTGGGTTGTTAATAATGCTATTAAATAAGCAGATGTGAATGTTTATTTTATTGGTTTTTCAAGTAGCTGTTCGTGGGTGTGGGTGGAAATACGATATTTTAGAGATGTCTGTTCTTATACCTCCTTCATTAGAAAATACTCAACATGTGTTTGCAGAATGAATGGACATGAGAGATGAGTGGAGACTGGGGATTCATTTTAAACTCTGCAGGAACTGTGATCTCCCACGGGCTCTGCTTTGGTGTTGGTGCTGCTCAGAACTGAGGAGTCTGTGAAAGCTTCTGCTCTGAGGGCATGAGCTGAACTTCATCCCGTGTCCCCATGGGACGCGCTTGGTGTCCCCTGATGATGAGTCTGATGGCCTAAGGATGAGTCTGTTGTAGCCTGGGGGGAGCCTTGTGAGAGCCAAGGGAGATATTTGTGTCCCCTTGGAAGCACCATGGGCTCAGGAGGTGTTTAGTGACACAAGCAGTCAGTGAAATCCCAGCAGGGCTGTTCTCCCCTCCCATGTGCAGTTTGTCCCTGGTGGTTTGCACAGAGGGCTGGAGCTGGACTGGTGGCACTGACTGTTCTGGTGGATCCCCTGTATGGGCACTACAAACACAACACAGCATGTGGAACAACTGCTCTTCAATTCAAGGTTGTGCTTTGGGTGCAGAACAAACTGTGGGTTTGGGTGGCAAAGATTGAAAGGAATAGTTGGAATTTTGGTGTTGGTTCTTGCTTGCTCTGAGGAACTCAGGTTGGAAAGTGCCCCAACTCCTCCTTGTTCTTGCTCTTCAACCAGATGAGTACAAGTGCCACACGCACAGTTCAATCAGCCACCCTGGTTCTGACAATATCCACTGTGCTGGGACCATCTGTCCTAAAACAGAAGTGTAACTGCCTCGGCTTGGACTGTCCAAGTCTTTGCAGGATCCCTTGGGAGTTCCTTGGCCAGGGCTTTAGGTGTGTGCCAGCCTGCTAGGACAGTGGGTGGGGGAATCTTGGCTTTATGGCAAGATTCTTCCTGTTCCAGCCCACAGGCCAAGGGCAGCTTGAGCCAATCAATGTGGAGGAAAATTGTTTTTAGAGTGAGTTTCTTGTAAAAGAACCATGATGGTGTTCCTTAGCCTGAAAGCTTGCAGGGTATTGTCTCCAGTAGCTATGCAAAACCACCTTATTTAAAATAGGTTTTAAAAAAAAAATTGTTATTGCAATGAAATTTGGGATGCAATTCAGGCAGAGACAGCATTCAGCAAGCTTTGGGATATCTGAGCAAACATGAACTGTTGGGTGGTCTCTGACACAGGAAGTGTCCCTGGGCATCCAGGGTGCTGYAGGAGCAGCTCAACTGGGGGCATGTGGAAGTTATTTTCTTTTCAGCCAAACTTTTGTAGTTCCAGAACTCCCCTGGGAATCTGTTGGACAGTAGCTGGCAGGGATGTGCAGGRGACATGGATGTGACATGGAATGCTCTGGTGAGGGACACTGATGGGCAGCTCAGTCACCAACAGTCRGGGGAATTCTCTCGTGTCTCAGAGCTGAGGTGTGGGCACTGCACACTGAACTGCACCACTCCAGCAGGAAATGTAGGCTTGGGGGAAAAACATGGGGAAAAAGGGTTCCTTTGTAGTTCTTTGTTGTCCTGTGCTGTCCATTTGCACATGAAGAGAAGCTGAGCTCTGATCTCACTGCTCTGTCTCTCGGGGGTGAGGAGGGGCTGCTCACTGGGCTTGTTCTGGGGACATCTCTGCTGTGGGGCTGCTGCTCCTGCCTGGCACAGGAGYGGGGTCACCCTGTGCCACTGCCTTTAGCGGGGCCCTGACTGTACCTTAAACATCCAGAGGATGCTGTTGGTGTCCAGGGATCTGAGTGTCCACGAGCTGCTGGAATGTGGGGTGTGGGTTGGGGAGTTTAACTCCTGCCTGCTATCAATGGCTGTGCAAGCTGCCAGAACTACAGCACTGAATTCCTCATCCTCTGCAGCTGAAGGCCCTGGATCTGCCTCCAGGTCTCCCACTGTGAGTGCCTTTGAGCAGAAACACTTAATTCTGCAAATTGTCCAGTGCCACAGGTGACACCRACCTTTGATGTTGTACTGTGGTACCTCCTGGCTGGAAGTGCTGTGCTTCCTGGCTGGAAGTTTTCTATTGTTGTTTAATGAGATTGCTTCTAGGAATTCAAATAGTTTCTAGGAATTGGAATACAAGGAAAATCTCCACAGTGCAAGAATGGAGGAATGATAAGTCTTTTGACCCTTTTGAAATTCCAAACTAGTAATTCTTCGCACTGGTAACTGTGCTGATCTTTAGCTACCTGTTACTGTAGGTTGAGTCCTGCCTGACTTTGGCTTGWTGAAATCAGGAGGGTTTCCTGGTGAAAGAGTAGTTTTAGACTCCAGAAATTCCACTGTTTCCCTTGAGCTGTTTTGGGCTCTGCTCCAGAAGTGAGATCCTCATCATTGTGGTGACTACTCTGCCTCCTGTAATAGGGAATAAATATTTTCTAGTTTTCCTCTTGGCTGTTTCAGTCCTCTGCCACTTCAGGGCACTGTTTTCCTTGGAAGGTGGGGAAACTCCAGGTGCCAGGGCTGTAACCTGGGGTAAAGCTCTTTCAGGATTTTGTCTGGATGTGCTGCTGGGGTACTGAGTGATAAGAGGGTTTGTTAAAGGTTCTCCTTGGAAAAGAGCCTGGATATAGTTTGGAATCTTTTTTAGTATTTATATCTGTCCCTGGATATATACCAACATTGTACAGGGGTAGGGAGAATCCTCATCCCCATGTTCCAGCTTCTGTAAAGATTATGGCTGTTTGAGGGTGCTTAAACCTGAGCATTTACTGGAAACCTGAGGGATGCTTCCCCACGGAGTAACTCCCAGATCTTGGGAGTCTGGAKGAGGAGGTGACAGACAGGAGCTGCTCAGTCTCAGGAGAGGCAGTTGTTGGGAAATGCTCCCTCTGCAAAAGGGGCATCTCTGCAGAGGGGTTGTGGTGCTTTGTTGTGTCARTCCAAGCAAATCATCTGCTTGGTTCTGTCAGGCCTCCTGTGAACAGGTCTGAGACTGCACAGAGGAGGGCCAGGGGTCCAAACCAAAAGGGACTGCTTTAGTTCAGTGAGATTTGTCCTTTACCTTCCTGCTGTCACCAGCTCGTGGAGTGACCCCTTTCCTGTAACACAGAACAAAMCACATCCAGGCCTTTTCCCAGGAAACTGTCCCTTGAGTGCCTCAGCCTGGCTGSTCTCTGGTGTCAGACCTGCCAAAGCATCCATGGGCACTGGCAAACTGAAATTCCCTGTTGTTCTGTAAGTCAGGGCCATCTCTGGAATGCTGCTTTGCAAGGCCCATAGTTAAAGCTGCTCATGTGAAGCACTGGCCTTGTCTTGTTATCTCTGTGCTGACTTTCATACAAAGGGGCTGGCTTTTGGTTTGATGGGGTATTTTAGTGTCAGTGCAGCTCAGACTGTTTTTTACATATTCATCGCTGGAGAGGAGATGTCTGAGTCCCACAACCAGATGTTAACTAATATAAAATGCTGGTATGATGATGATCAATTCCATGTTGTAATGGTGCTGCTGGAGCTCCTGCTGGGACCTTTCCTTTGCTTTCTGCCAAAGGAAGCACTGAGGGACCCAAGGAATGTGCTAAAAAAAATCTGCTGAGACCACTTAGAGGGGAAGGGTCTGRAAGTGCCAGGTGTCCCTCACTCAGCATTAGAGAAACAGATCCTGGCAGAGTAGGTTGTGCTCCTGCCTTGTCAGTGAATCCTCAGACTCTCAGGTGACATCCCTGTGCCTGCTTTTGTTGTGTTCAGGTTGTTGTGGCCCTTCCCTTGTGGTATTGCTCAACAACTCTGGCTGAAAGCAGCTCCTGCTGAAGCATCACTTGGATTTTATCTCCCAGAGTAACTCAGAGCTCCTGTACTGGTCTTGGCAAGGGAGAAAACTGCTGCTGAGCATTTGGTGTCCTCACATAGGATGGGCAGAGAGAGTATTGGAAAAAGTAATTTTTCCCAGAATAGGGCGTTCTGCTTCKTGTGCCATGTCCCCACATTCAGAGCTGCGTGCTGCTAAGACTCAGCAGATGGGTTTACATCCTGTCATCCCTCTCTTACTCTGGCCCAAATGTCATGGTTTACATGGGCACAGGCGCCCGCTAACACATGTGAAAGTTAGAAAGAAAATTCCAACCCAATGTGCTGTACTTGTGCAGWGTGGGCCCTTGGTGTGCATCAGCATCATGCTCTCCATGAGAAATGCCTTCTTGCCATGGCTCAGGGTGGACTGGGGGTTTGGAGGCATTTGCATGATGTGGTAGCTGGTCTTAGCCCTTGGCTGATGTGGAACCAGCCTCCTGGGAGGGAGCTCTACTGGAGCTGTGCTGCTCCTGGAATCCAAGAGGGCACCTGAGGGGAAACCAGTATGGACAACACAGGCTGCAGGAGAGAGAGAGAGTATTTTTGTAGAGTAACTGGTCATATGTTCACATATCTGCACTGTCTTTATTTAGCAGTGTAATGTATCCCAGTGAAGAGTTTCCCAATAAATAACTGGTTTTGATGCCTAATGAACGACTGCTGTGTCTTTACTTGTGAGAAATGATGGAGAAGGGGATGACTTGTGTATGTCYGTGGGTGTGATGGAGAAGCAGTGCCTGAGGGCTGGATGGGTGTGYAAATATGAACAATTAACCTGGGCAGAATTTTCTCTGGGTGAGGTTCTGTCATTGCAGGGTGTGTTGGTTGGTGCCTTGCTGTSCCTGGGTACCAAACAGCCTCCTCACCCTCCTTGTTCTTCCTGCAATTCCTACTGTTTAGTTTTCATGTGATTTTCTCCTATCCTTTTGCTAACGAGTCCAATGACACACTTCTAACCTGCCAGTAGTTCTKTGAAGGTAAGAGATCTTCTGTTTTGTCTGTGTGAGTCCTAAGGCAAACCCAGCCTCCTCATGGGCTCTTGGAGCTGGAGAAAGGCAGGACAGTCTCTCCCTGCACTGCCTTGTTATGATAATGCAGAAACAAGYCAGGTCCTTGTAGTTGTGATCCTTGATTTGAAGTCGATGGTATGTGGTATTTAAAAACCATTTGTCTGGAAATGGTTAAAAAGAATAGCTGCTACTAAAATAGCTGCTACTTAGGATTCACTAAAAGCTGTAGGGTAACCTTCAGTCTTTGAAATGGGCCTGTTCTTTTAGCAGGTTTTGGGACATCCCTATGTATTTTACAAGCCTGAGTGCAGTTCCACATACCCGTGGGCTGGCCCGCAGGAAGAGAAGCTATGCCAAGCAATAGATGTGCTTGGAGAGCAGCAGTGCAGGGCAGAATGACAGAATTTGTCTGTCTGCTGGAGCTTCCCTCAGGCAGCAGCAGGAAAGGAAACACTCTGCAATGGTGCTGTCGTCGTGGGTGGGTGGGAGAGAAAGCTGGTGGAATGGTGCTGAGGGTGCTGTGTGTGCCCATGCGTGTGTCCAACATCTTCCATCCTCTGAGCAGTGGTACCCGTGGTGACCCTGGGCTGTGTTGCAAACACCTTCCCTGGCATTTTAATTTCATTAATTTGCCCTCCCTCCCCTGCCCATTTTCCATGTGTGGTGGTGGTTTCCATCTGAACGGCGTGACATTCTTGTGTAATAAGTACCTTTCATTCTGATTGCAGACCAAGGAGATGGAGCTGGTTCAGTAACACTCTTCTCTTGTGTTTGTAGGTYTGCAGAGGGATCCAGGCCTGTTCCCAGCTGTAGCTCTTGAGCTCCATGAAGGAGATTCTGGCAGTGATGGACTCGCTTTGTACAAGGGTCAGCCTGAGATGCTGGATGTGAAAGTGCAGCGCAACTCAGAGTCAGAGTACTTGGCTAGAGATGGTCCTTCAAGCAACAGCTCCTTCTACAGTAGTGAAGGAGAGGGAACAGACCAGGAGGGAGATATTCTGGATTGCAGCGGGTCCAGGCCTTTACTGATGGATTCGGAAGAGGAGGAGGAGACCTGCAAGTTGTGCCCAGGGTTCCTGCAGCCTGCACCCAGGGAGAGGCATGAGRCCTCCAAAGAACATCCCCACTCCCAGGCCAGAGCAGGGGAGMCGCTGTTCCCGGCCTTCCAGACTCACACTGGAGAGGTTTTTAATGAACCGGATGTTTTTGCCACAGCTCCTTTCCGAAGCTTAAGGAAGGTGCCTGATGAAGTGGATGTCTTTACCAAAGCTCCTTTTATCTGCAAGGGCAACACAGCCCTACAACATCCAGAAGAAGCAGATGTGTTTCTGAGAGCCCCTTTCACGAAGAGGAAAAGCACAGAAGAGTTGACTTCCCATAAGGAGCCGTTCACACCACCCGTCTTCTTAAGCCAAGGAGGCGATGGCCGAGCTCATCTGATATTCCCCAGCCTGGATTCAGCRGCACAGGGGTCCATGGCCTCAGTGAGACCTCCATATCCTTCTGCTGGGTTTGCTCAGCCAGGCAATCTCCATCCCTCCTCCGTAAGAGCCTTGGAGGCCCAAGAGAGTGTCCCTGCTAAAGCAGTGCTGCCAGAGCAGGGCGATGTGGCCAGTGAGAGGGGCCACAGCCACGCGTTGGCCCCGGAAGCTGCGCTGGGCTCTGTGGCCAACAAGCCTTTCCGTCCGCAATCCTTGTCCAAGTATTCCCGACACTACAGTCCTGAAGATGGGCCGGACCTCGAAGCCAAGCCCATAGCTGCTTACAAAGTGGTGTCTCAGACCAACAGACAGGCCATAGCAGGGTCTGTCTCTGTTGTCCCACTGTCTTCCAGGACTACGGAGCTGCCCGGCGCGGATCCCTTCGCCTCAGCGCCCTTCCCTTCCAAAGCGGCGAAGCAGAAGCCTTAATGTGCCAGGAGCTGGGGGCTGTGCTTCCTGCAGGACCACCTTGCACAGGACCTCGAACCTCTTAGCTGAAATGAATGACATAGCAATATATATATAWAAAATAATTATTATTTTTGGTCAGAACTCTATTTGCAGTGATATATAGTTGAACCATTTAAGTTATGTTAGTCCAAATGCCTGGCACTCAGGATCCTCGTGTCCTTTCCAGTTGCTTCTCACCTTCCTCCTCTCACTGTCTTCCTTCCACTCATTTTTTTTAGATGCTTTTCTCAGACCAATAGTATTCCATATTTTCTGGTCCTGGGTGGAGAAATGCATTACAAGATGAATTAAAAGGTTTATTAATTACAGAGCGAGTCAAGCGGGACTTGCTAATGCTCTGGAAAGGACATAATTTCACAGGTTAAAGAGTTACTGTGACTTCTCCTATCAGTGATATTGCTGCTGCTCAGCAGCAGTGCTGCCATGGCTCCAGGGTGTTGGTGGGTGATGTGYCCATGGAGCACATGGGGGCCAGTCTGGGCAGTGCTGCTGAGAGCAGAGCCGTGGGCAGCAGCACAGCTTTGCTCACCCAGGAGTGGAACACGTGGCATGGCAGTGCTGCTGCCCCGGGGCTGGGGCCGTAGTCAGAGAAGGACTCACAGTGCCTTCATGCTGTGAATGCCAACCAAGCAATCAGGCTGTTACTGTTGGTGGAAAATCAAATGATTGCGCAAACAATCAGGCAAAGCTTTCACTTTTACACGTGTGTTTCCTGTCTGGTCTATGCTAAAGTGTAGGACCTGGAAATCTGCTTGTGGTGAAGGAGAGACATATATTTACAGTATAAAAAAGAGGCCTTATGGGAAGATTTCTGATGTAAATATCTCCATAACAGTCCTGATGTACCTCACGTGGTGGGTGACTCAGCAGTGGCCACAGCCCTGTTAGACTGGTTTATACTGGCAGAAAGTTTGACWCAAAGTGAATTCTGCCTATTGTTTTTCTGTTGGTTAAGGGTGAACCTAAACAAAATCCATTTGCTCTCCTGAAGTGTTATGTTTTCTATCCTGTTCCCAAAGAGCAGGGCAGTGTTATTGCCTGGTTGGGCAACGATGTAGTGAATTCCAGTCAAGAGGAAGAGGCAGCTGGGCAGACCCAGGTAGACTGTGCTCCCAGCTCTTCTCACKAATAGAGCACAGTCAGATGAGTGAAGTCATCTTTATTTTGAAGAATGCCTGGTTGTTTAAATTGTCCTGGATCTTCTGGCCTGCAAAGGCTGCTTATGAGTGTGGACTGGCTCTCAAATRCCTGGTTATCAGGGCTTTGTGGGCTCCCAGTCCAAGCTGGAGCTTTGTGCTGAGGGTAAAGGACAAATTCTACATTGGGGAATCTCCCACAGGTGGCTTTGCAGTCTTTGGGTGTTTGCAGGGGAAAGCAYGTGTTGGTCTCTGAATAGGACTGGCTGTATGTAGAGCAGGTTCCTCCATCTACTTCCAGATGTGTTTGCACTTGGAGAGTAAGTCCTGGCAATAGTGTCCCTGCAAGAGAGGGAAGGATCAGCTGTAGCTCCTCACTGGAGTCTCACCACCGAGAGCTGCTGCAGCTGAAAACAGACTTTGGTCTAGTTTTGTGAGCAGAAATACCTGACCCCTCCTGCAGCACCCAGCTCTGTCTGAAGCCCCAACACTAAGCATTAAAGGGATTCAGGAGGCTTATTAAAGATCGGTGTGAAGGCTGCAAAAAAGCAGAACATTGCACAGTTCAGGGCAGAYTCACTGCTGAGTTTTCATCCCAGCATAAGGGGAGGATGGATAGATGGAKGGATGGCTGGAAAAATCTGAGTGCTGGGWGGGGACTGCAATGCATTTGCAAATGGGAATCACCAACTGCTCTGTGTTCCTTTTCCCTTCCCTCARTTCAGTTCCCCTGCAAAATCTCTCCAGTTGCAAGAGATGAGGCAAGTGTTCTGCTGGATGTGGGGATTGCCTGGAAGGGAGAGGGAAAAGCTTGGACTGAGGTCTTAGAGCCCTGGGGTGGGGAGGGAGAATACTGGAATGCAARGAGGCCATGTTAGCTCCCCACAAGTTGCTGGTGAATAGTGACTGGCCAAGCCCAGGTCAGGGGAGCTCGTGGAGATGGGAACCTTTTGCCCTGCACTGCTGTGCTCGGAGTTAATAAATATTGGTGCATAGTGGTGGTTATGGGGCTTTCTGTCCTCCATCACCATCTCTTGAAAACGAGTACTGTAAAGAAGTTTCTGGGTTTCCCTTGAGATATTTCTTCAGCAAAGCTGAGGCTGTTATTATGTTTTGTTAATGTTTAATTTTCTGTTTGAATATACACCCAAAATATGGTGGTTTTTATTTTAAGTATACGTACCCCCAAGTCAGTTGTTGCTGGATGGGATCAGTGAGAGACACAGACAATGACTGTGACAGCAAACTGTGAATTCAAGGAGAGTGAGCGTGAGGGCCCAGACTTGTTCCAACACCAGCCTGTGTCACAGCCACACTGAGCCATGGGCTACATTTGAGCTGTTGAATTTACTCAGGAGCTGCTGGAAGGGAGGTCAGGCCTTGGTGGTGTGGGATGAACCTGTGGAACAGGGAGATGCTTTGCTGGAATGAGCAGGTACCTTGTCTGAACCATGTGGGTTCAAGGTGTTACCTCYGCTCACTAGATTCAGGTGCTCCTTCCTTCTTTACATTTTTACTTGAAAAATTGCTTCTGAATAATTCTGTGAAGCTTCTGTCAGTGCCACATCCAGGTCCCACAGAGCTGATGCTGGAGGAGCATCAGCCTGTCCCTTCGTGCTCGGAGAAAGGGAAGGTGCACCAAGGTGTGTGGGCTCCACTCCAGCCCTGCTCAGTTGGGTCAGGCTGCATTTCCAGCTGGCATTTTGGCAGCTTTTCTGTCCTTCAGGCACTTTACACAAAGAGCAGGCTAACTGTGCCCCAGAGCTCATGATCCTGACAGACACATCCAGTGCTTAAATGGTTTTAAATCTCTTCTGGGGGTGGAGGCAGCTCATCTGTATGTCTGCATGTGACTCATAAAGTAATGGGACTTTTGGTCAGAAAACTCAATTTCAATGCCTGTTACTCTGATATCCTTCTCATTTCCAGCCTGTCTTCCTCCTAATCCTGTACTATCACTGCTGCAGCCTCAGTTTGATGAGTTGTAAGTGAAATTTCATTTCCACAGCCTCTGAAGCTTACTRTTTTAATGTATGGGGAAGAATCATGCAATCATGCTAATTATTTGCGACACAATCAGCGATCTTAATGAAGTAAGACTTATATAGACTTAATGCAGTGTTTTGAAATCAGTTTTCTGAACAGAACCACTGGTTTCATGTCTTCTGTAAAGCTGTAGTAAATGGTGTTCACTGCTCTGGGCCTTTGTGCATGGCCACAGCGTTATCACATCCTTGCGACAATCCCAGATTCCTGCTGGGAGAGGGACTGGTTCTTGCTTCTCACCCACTGAATGCACTCAAGTCTCTATTGAAAGTGATTAATCAGAATTTCTGCATGGGTGAAACATGCAGTTGCCTCTTTGCTCACTGCCGTGATGTTGGGCCAGCACTGGGGGAACCCTGCCCTCCCTCACTGCTGCAGGACTTTGGGGGCTGTYCCCTCTCCCTTCAGCCAGCTTGGCACCAGTCACAACCCGTCAAGTTTACACTTCAGCCTCCTGAAGCCAGCGCACACTCTGCATGGAGCACACAGGTGACACTGAGCTCGTGACCCCAACCCCATGTGAGCACTGGTGACACAGCCTGATCGTGTCCTCAGTGCAAAGGCAGCAAAACCCGGCGACATCTGCTGAATTGCTGAACTCAATCACTCCAAAGTGGTAACTGGTTACTTTAACTCAGCTTCCACCAAAGACTCTTGTGTTGGGGAGTTGAATTTTGTGGGTTTTTGTTTCTTTCCTTGTGGTGTTAAATCAAGGCCTTTGAGTACACTGACAGACCCCAAAGCATTCTTCCGGTAGGTATCATGTTCCAGCAAAATCCTGTTGCAGTTCTGAAACACATTCCTGAAACCTCATCAGCTGCATTAGTGTTTCCAGAAATAACCCAGGGCCTGTAGTTTCTGTTGTAGGTGGGTAAATACCCTCACACACACATCTAGAATTACTCCCTTGTGAAGTTAGAGGGATAAAGTAGATGCAGTGTTCCTGATCCCTGGCCTCCAAAGGGATGGGGTGGGAGGGCAGGGGGCTCTCTCTGGTGTGGGATGCAGCAGGTAGAGCATCCTCCACACTGAGTATGGTGGTGGGAGAAATGCCTTTGTGTCCAGCTGGAGCCGGAGCTGGGAGCATCTGTGGTCCCCACAATGACACAGTGAYTGTCCCATGGGCCGTGTTTCCTCTGTCCCCCTGGCACCTCTGGCCTGCCAGATCCCTGGGCACAARTTTTGCACTCCGGGTGGGATCATCTGTTCCTGGTAATCATGAAGAAATGTTCCACTTGTAAACCTATGTACATTTTATTAAAACTGTATCTGATGACAACCACCATYTCCGCTGTGCCTTCCTTCTCCCCTCTCCATGGAAAATATTTTTGCTGGATGCAGGGAATCTGTGTTTTAATGAGTTCTTCCTACTGAGGTACTGAACTGGGTCTGGCCCTGCTGTTTTATCTGGCACCTGTAAAGTCAAACTGATCTTGYTGCTTTAAGCAGAGGATATTTCAGTTTCCATCCAGTTTATATTCCAGAGAGAATCCTCCCTATCCAGGGCAGTGCTGCTGCTACAGACAGCACAGAGCAACTGAGCYCTCCCTGCAAAATTGCTGCTCCTCAGTGGTTCTAATGCGGTGCTGGTGCATCTGGACATCTGGGGCTTGGGAGGTTGTGGAGGCTCACTGTGTGCTGATGAAATGTGTTTTTCTGTATCATTCAGCTGCCAAGGCTCTGTTAGTGCAAAATATTATTTGGGCTTTGCTGCACTTTTATCTTGGTATAAATTCATTTCTATCTTGGTATAAATGTGTCGACTGAGAGAGACTTTGTGGTGCCTTCTGTCCTGCTTCAGCTGCTGGCTCTGCCAGGTSATGTTGCTGACCATCCAGGTAGAGCCCAGGAAGGCTGCAAGTGAAGCCTTTTATTCTCAGAGCTGCAATATTTTCTCTTTTCATTTTCTCCTTGAAAACATATCCACGTGTGGTGCATTAATGGGATTTGGTGTTACCCGGAAAAAGCCGTGTTTGGCGTTGACTTCGTTGTCCCCGTTGTTTTTGGTAGACTGTAATGCTCAGGAAAGAAAAAAAATACCTATGAACTTGCACTGCAGAGCGATGGAGCCCTCCCTGGAAAACCAGGAGCTGCTGCTGCAGGAGAGGAGGTGCAGCACAAACCCATCCCCAAAGAGGATCTGTGAGCAGCATGGTCCATGGCCACATCTGTGCTAAAGCCATGCACAGCAGCAAGAATAATGGGATCCAGGAATGGGCTTTGTCAAAGCCCTGGAAAATGTGTGTTCTGTGCCAAGCGCAGTGGATCCAGTGAGGAGTGACTGAAACAATGGGTCATGAGCTTGTTTGGAGAACTTGGTTGGATTTCTAGGTTGTATTAGTTGCAAGAGAATACACAGAGATCGATAGGCTGATGTGACTTTCTGGTCACAAATGGGCAGGACTGTAATCAGACTCCAGGGGCACATGCAGTCATGAGCTGGACAGGACCTGGAACCTCTTTATCTTGCTGAAATTGCAGATGTTTCCTTCCTCCCCAGGGAGAYTCTTCCTCCTCTTGGGCAACAGCCCTGAACATTGGCAGCTGCACAAAGCTTCCACCTCAAAAATACTCCGATCAAAATAAAAACATCCCCTCTAATTCCTTCTGCAGCCACCCTCTGTGGAAGGTTACTGGGTTAAATTTGCAATTTTTGATGGCTTGGGAGACTTGAGAAGGGAAAGAAGAGTAAAGGCTTTTTGTGCGTTACTGGGCTCCGAGGTGAAATGGGGGTTGGAGGGGATGTTTGTGAGCACTGTTGGGACCCTGTGCTCCTTCAGAACTGGGACATGGATGTGGAGCCTCACCCACCTGGAATGTGCTGTGGTGGTAAGAAGAACGTTTAAAAAAAAAACAAAAAACCCCTTGGTGCTTTGGTTGGTGGAGAGMGGGAGGAGGATTTCTCTATCGTTCTTTATAGATCTGTATTTTTAGCAAACATGCTGCCTGTGGGACAGAACATGACTGCAGGCACATGAACAGTGGTGGGCAAGGGGGCCTATGGCACAGGGGCTGTACCAGCCACAGTGACCGTGTCCTCGAGTGCTGTGTCCACTTCTGGCCCTTCACAAGAGAGACACTGGGGGGATGCAGCGTGTCCAGGGAAGGACGTGGAGCTGGGGAAGGGGCTGGAGCACCACGAATGGCTCAGGAGCTGGGGAAGGGGCTCAGCCTGGAGCAAAGGAGGCTCTGGGAGAACCTTGTGGCTCTGCACAACTCCCAGACAGGAGGGGACAGCCGGGGGGTCGGGCTCTGCTCCCAGGGAAGGGACAGGACAAGGGAAAATGGCCTCAAGCTGTGATGGGGACGTTTAAGTTGGATATTGGGAAAATTCCTTCCTGGAAATTATCGTCCAGCTCTAGCACAGCTGCCCAGGGCAGTGCTGGAGTCGCCATCCCTGGGAGGGCTTTTAGCCGCCGTGTGGATGTGCCACCGGGCACGCGGGCCCGGAGCGGCCCTGGCAGTGATGGGAGCGGCTCGGCTTGGTGGCCTGCGAATCCGTTCCGTCCCGATGGCCGCCGCCATTGCCGCTGTCCTCCCTCAGCCGCTGTGACGCCTCAGCCGCCGCCGCCATTGTCGCTGTTCCCCCTCAGCCGCTGTCCCCCCTCAAGACGCCGCTGCCATTGCCGCTGTCCTCCCTCAGGCGCCGCCGCCATTGCCACTCTCCCCCCTCAGCCGCTGTCCCCCTCAGACTCAGCCGCCGCCATTGCCGCTGTCCCCCCCAGAGGCCGCCGCCAGGGGGCGCGAGCGGCGCTGAGGAGCGCCAAGATGGCGGCGGCGCGGCGGCTCTGCGCGGCGGCGGGGCTGGGCGGGCGGTAGGTGACAGCGGCTGCCGCGGCTCCCGCTGCTCCGGCACGGCTTTCTCCCGGAGGGAGCCCGGCTTATTCCCGGAGGGGGCCCCCTCTCGCCCCTGCCCCGCGCGACTGAAAGGGGACCGTGTCGCAGTTAGGGCCACCGCGACCTCCAGGGCCGCCCCGGGTGCTCCTTGCTCTTCCCCTTCCTTTCCCCACCGCAGGCGGGGGTGACGCTTCTTCCTGGCGGGCAGCGAGAGGCTCTTTCGGCTTCTCAGCCACATCCCAG